TTCTATTTCAACTGAGTCAAAAGCCTTCTGTAAATCGATGAAAGTGAGACAAAGCGGTCTTTTGCACTCTCGCGCTACTTTAATGAGCCTTGCTATCATGTGGATATGCCCATCGTACTAAATCGTTTTCGAAACCTTGTTTGTTTACATGGCTGTCTGTCGTCCAGTGTTCTGTCAATCCTACTTAGGATGACACAAGTGAAAAGGTTGTAGACGATAGACAGTAAGCAGATTGGGCTGTAGTTGCCGATATCGTGTAGGTCACCTTTCTTGAACAATAACACGGTCTTGCTGGTCTTCCGCTAAGCAGAGACCTTGCATTCAGACAGGTAAGGTGTGAAGAGCCGAGCCAGTGTGTTTACGAGGACTGGTGGAAGGTTTTTCAGGTGTTCTAATTCTATTCTATCCGGGCCTGGTGCTGTTCGATTTTTAACCGACGAATTGGCATTTCGAATTTCGGAAGGGAGAACCGGTGGTACAACATATCCTTTATTTCATATGACGGAAGGTGGATGTGGCTATCGAGGAGATCCGAGTAGTATTCGCGAATGATTTTCTCCATTGCCTTTCTGGACGCTGTAACTGTTCCGTCTGAACGTCGGAGTGCAATCATGTTCGTCTTGTAATTGGCGAAGCTTCGGTGGGCTTTGCGAACGCTTTTCCCAACCTCTGCAGCTTCGATCATTATTGCTGCTCTTCTCTCCTTAAGTTCTTCTTTTATCGCCTGTCTGCATTGTTTGGCAGGTTTGGACGTTAGTTTACAGTTGCCTGCAGCCTGTGCGATTCCACGCTGGTGTATCAGCACGAGTGTTTTTGGAGACAGATGCCTCTTGGTGACTTTCGAACAGTGAGCTTTCATAGCGCTACCGTGAAGATGTTGAATAGGCTAATAGTATTCCTCGTCGATGTTATTGGCAACGTTATCTTCCTTACAGCCGACTAATGAATTGAGTAAGTCCCAGTTTATGGTTGTTCTGGGACTTCGGTTTTTGAATTCAGCGGGTTTTTCTCCTTTCCGCTAGAAATAGAATCTTGCGCGAAGTAGACGGTGGTCTGATCCCGTGTAGAATTTTGGAACAACAGCGACATCGGTTAGGCAGAACCTTCGATTTACTATGACGTGGTCCATTTCGTTATGGTACTCTCCATTGGGATACTCCCACATCCAGCGTTGATCGTGGGGCTTCTGGATTTGCGAGTTACCATGGACTGTCTTGGTCACCATGAAAAACTCAGGCAGCCGCTCACCCTGTTCGTTCCATTTTAATCCATGGGTCCCAATGTCACGTTCTTCAGACGATCTTCTTGGTCCAGTCTTGCAGTTGAAATCTCCAATGATGACCTTAAAGAATTTATGGCCTTCTCTGTAAAGCTTCTCCAAGTTTATATAGAACGCTTCGACTTTTTCTTCATCATAGCTTGATGTCGGCGCGCACACTACGGAGATTGTCAAAGCGGGTGTTGATCCACATCTTTTTAATCGTAAACGTCCGATTCGGGTTGTAAGTTGTTTGAATGAATCGATGTTCATGGACAAACTCGCGTTGACGAGAATGCCGACACCGCCGACTCCTCTACTCTCAGATGTTCCGAGAAACAGTTCTTCTCCGGTGTCACAGACGGCGCTGAATGGGTAGCGTCGTCTCGTCTGGGCTAGGCCGATAACGCCGTAACTTATCCTTCTTGTTTGCATAAGCAAGTCCTCTATCGAGGACTCGGATGTAAGTGTACGTGCATTGTAGGTACAGATGGGCACCACGGTTTTTGTAATCCAGACAGCTTCCATTGGTTCTGAAATTTTAGCAGCCTCTCCGTACTCTCCTACCCAGCGCTGCGAAATTGTGGGCTCTTTCGGGGTCAGGGGAACGAGGCCCGTTTTTTTTCGCCGTGTTTAACATTCTTGATACCCACGTAAAGCTTGCTAGGCTCTGAACGTGAGGGCTGGGTATACTCACGGGTAGCTTGCCAGGCTCTCCCAAAGTGAACAAGAAGCTTATTTGTTGGAGGCGACTTCTAACCGCCTCCCATATATTTCCCTGTCACTTGATTGCAGGCTTTTGGCCGAATTGTCTCGTAGAATACAATCTGCTTAAACTTGAACGCACCCACACACGCGTGCATGAATTCGTTTCGTAAATACAGCAAGTATATACCAAATTGGCTCAGCAGAAACAGGGAGTCCATCCCTTGGATCCACCTGCGTCTCAGGGAAGCAAGCGTCGCTTTTGGTCCGCGATTATCATCTATCCGCTATTTGGGGACGCGCCACGTATCCTCGCGACTAGCCGGTTCGAGATCCGTCATATGAGGGTGATCCGTGGTGGGTCCATTTAGGCCGGAAAATCAACGCGGTGGACGAATCAGCTGCAGAGTTGAGCAGAAGAAAACGAGTGGCTCGGTGAGTATTCAAGAGCGTCGAGGGTGTAGTGAAAAGAATAAAGAAGAGTCGATGCCGTGCCCACTTTTCGACTCAACGGTTTTTCCTTCCTTAACGTATGCGTCGGAAACCTGGTCGCAACGTAAGAGGAAAGATCACTTGGCGCTATCGAACGTGCAGTCGAAAGGACTATGCTAGGAGTATCCCATTTCACACAACTAAAGTGGGGATCCGAAGTTCCTATCTGCTTCAACGGTCAAAAACCAAAGATGCCGTTCTGTTCCCCAAACATTCGAAGATAAGGTGAGCCAAGCACGTAATGCGTATCAATGACAACCAATGCACAACAGCAGCTAGTGACTGGGGATGTCAAACGCATGGTACAAAGACCGCCGACCCGATGGTTAGAGTTCTTCACGAAGAGCTTAGAAGAAAGATATGATGCTCAACTAGTCTCTAGAGTAAGCAAATGTAACTGGGTTACTCTTGCTTGCGACAGGAAAAAATGGAAGCTTTAATGGCGCCCGCTCTAGTCCCTCGACGACCAACGGAACTACAGGTGATACAGGTGATTTCTTGAGAGGCTGTATCATCCACAAGGGCAGGCGATTTTCTCTGTGATAAAAAGCTGGAGCCCTTCTAGACAGCCCACGACCGACTTTCTATTAACCTTGGCACTGACCAAGTAACTCTTCGTATTCTTGTTGAGCAAACGAGAGGTGTTATTTATTCTTTATTCACGAATACGCTGACGTTTCAGCGAATTTCGCCTTCCTTAGAGCCTGGAAAGGAAAAGTTGATAGCAGTCTATTCGACCAAACACCTCCATAATCAAACAGAGAAAACGCTGAACCAAGATTTCGATAACATTGAGCGCAGAATAGCTTCTTTGCACACTCGCCGCTTTCTATGAGGCTTCCACTGAGTACATCGCATGGAGACCAACCGCACAGAATTCACGTGGAAGCATAATGTGCCTCTCCCATCAAAACAACAGGCTTATATAGTGCCCAATATCACGCGTGATAATGAGGCATTCCTCCCTGCAGTTCATTTTCGGATTCTTGGAATTAATCCACAATGCCTCAAGTGTTTGCTCTCTCTGTTCGTGTTCTCGATTCATGTGCGAGGATCGTGACACGTACTTCAAAGTCCTCCCCGTTATGTCTCTGGGTCTTATGCGTGCCTAATGGGGTATTTGATCTACGTTTGCCGACTAGGTGTTTTTTTTATACGGACACAGAGGGGTCTGCCCGTTTCGCCAATGTATTTGTCACCGCAGGCCTTACAGGAGATCAGATAAACTGTACCCGAACTCACGCAGTCACCTTTTTTATCATTGGGGCAAATTATGTAATTTTGTGTCGCACATAGACGGTCGTATAGGCGGTTACGAACTAGCTAGCGTCTTAGATTACTCGGTGGCATTTCAATTATCGTTACCGAATTTTCTAGACCGACCCTTCTTAAACAGCCCTTTATAGCTGCACTTACGTCATTTGAAATGAAGGGCAGTATAAGTGAGATCTTGTTGTCGCTAGAGTTATCGTTGGGGTACCTGTGGTTTCCTCTACACCTATTCTGAGCTACAGCTTCGTAGCCATTAAAAATGGCTATTTGCGGCGCCAACTTCAGGGACTCCTCTCTCTGCTGTTTTCCTGTGTACCCGCTGGTAGCTGTGGGAAACATGTTTCTCATAAGCGCCCTTTTCGTGTGATATGGGTAAGAGCAGAGGTAATGAACCAACATATTTTTACTACTTCGCTTTCGATACCATTCCGTAATGTAGCCGTTTTCCGATAGGTTAATTTGCACGCTCAGAAATGGAAACGAGCTTTTTTGGCTTCTCTCGGGTGAATTTAATATAGTCTGACTATTCGTTTAACAACTCGAAACCTTTGTCCGTTTGCTCTTGTGTCGAGCAAAGGACTAAACAGTCATCTATATTTCTACAGTAGAGTAACGGCCCATCGGTCGGTCGATAGTGCTTCCACCTAATTCTAAACAGCGTTTTTAGAATATCACGGATGAACCAGCATTAGACGGCGTTTACGAAAAGAGAAATGATGGATCACCATGTAATCGAGTTCATCGGTGATTGACGGAATTTCTCTGCGTGATTCCTGCTCTGTATAGTTAATTTCGATAAAAACACCAAAGATACAATAATGAGAGTTTTCTGTTAGCAATATCGTAATGAAGAGGGAGAAATAACGTGAAGTGAATTACGTCATTGGTTTGATCACGGCCGTTTAACACACGAAGTCATGCAAAGGTGACGTAAACCTCGGAGAATTCGTCGTAAACCAGAACAAAGAGTATAAAAGAGCCAAATCAAAACTCGTTAAGCGTAAAGTCAGCCTTCATTTTTTTCATTCTGTCAAAAAAAATCAAGCATATTTTATTTTGGAATTTTTTGAAAACTTTATAAATAAATTGGCTCACCTGTGCCACCTGGTGATGTTTGAGTTACAGCTCCTCCTTCGACTTTTCCATAAAGAGGACCGATACCTTTCGTGTTGGTGGTGGGATTTTCAACCGGAAAATGAATGCCCCATTTTGATTTTCGAGAGCAGGAATTGTCGTTCATTCATGATAACCGATAAAAGAACGAATAAAAAGACTATTTCTGCATATATATATATATATATATAAATGTAAATATATGCATCATTTCGCATATCTCTTCTCAGTATATAACGTTTTTTTCTAGCTCGAAACTCACCTGAACGGGTGCATAGTCGTTTGTGATTTCAACACCATAAACTGGCATGTTTGCAGCGGCCATGGCTTCGATCATCTAAAACAAATCATATAGTAAGGATTATAAATAGTATAGACTCATGTAAATGATGACATTCGAAGTTTAAACGAGAAAGAAACAACGTGCTGAACTTCATCGGCTTTGGTGCCTAGCAGCACTTCTGCTTTAATATGACTTTTATTTATATTAATACAAAATATATCTCTGAGTTTTGCAGATACCCCAGCGTCATTGTAGGTGTATTTTACACGACACCACCGTCGGGAAAAAGGAACAATAGATACTAAATAAAAACTTACACATTGTGATTTCAACTTGGGCCTCAGTTCGACTGGGTTCAATGCCTATTTGCACTCTCCAGATCACTCCCGTTAACGGATTATTGCTAATGGCACCGTTAGGATAAAAAATTGGGTGAGAGAAACCGAAAGCAAAAACTTAAGTAATGCAGTGGGTAGCACGTGGGACGACGGCAAGAGTAACCGTAGGTTTAAATTTGGCCTGCGCTCTGAGTTCTGCAAATTTTTCAGCATCATTGTGTAATGCTTCTTTATTTAAGTTCTGGAGAGCACTTATAATTTGACGGCGCCGTGTCCTTATATTTTAGTGGTGACCACTCAAGCTGTTTAGAAACAGAAAGATTCTTCAGGTAAGACTCGTTCGCCTTTGAGATAGTCCATTCGACTCCATTTGTAGCGTCGTTGTATCAAAGTTTAAACGAGAAAGAAACAGTTTTGAAGTCCGCGTTCTATCTTCTCTGTGGTCACGTTCCTGCTGTGGACTACAAGAAAAAGGAAAGAAAAGTGCCGTGAATGACGGTTTTACCGTGTGTGTTGTTCAGGCGAATATGTTGAACACTTTCGAAGGGATATGGGGAGCATTTCAGAATTTGCTGTTTACAGACTGAGTTATTTTTTGCATCAGCAGATAATCTGTTGACATCTGAGTGGCGTTGTTTATCGTACACAACTTGTACTACATTTTGAAAAATTTGCAAGTTAAAGAGAGGAAATACAATTAAAACAACCGACAGATGCTTTTATCTCGTTGTTCGCTCTCATCTCGGCGATCAAGCTGTCATTCGATTGACCGATAAAGTACCAAATCTGATAGTTGTCACTGCTCTAAACGAAATCCCATCAATTAAAAAATATTTTCAACATTTTTGCTTTCTAAAAAGAACAGCATTTATGTAGTCGGTAGAACCTTTTGTGGGAAGTACGTCCAACCGACAGGTGGGCTTATATCCATAGTGAATACTGGATCCTCAATGTACTCGAACTCATTATCCCCACCTAAATAAATACGTTCTTTTATAAACACTGGCAAAAATTATTTAATTGTTCGCATTATCTATGCTTGGAAAAATTCATTAAATCTCTTAAAGTAGCACAAATTCTTCTAAGCAAGTATTTCAAGATATTTTTTAGCGCTTCCAAACCCACTTTTGATTATGAAAAACCTGTCATTCGCGGAAATTGTTCACTGCGTATGTGTTCATCTTTCGAAGTATCTGGCTAACGGTCCATGGAGATAATACACGTCTAACCACTTTAAACAGAAATGCTTGAAATCCGAATTTGTTTTGAAATTTTTTTTGGCTTCAATTCTGATATTCAGTGAACCCGAAATGGACGAGAGACTTAAGATTTCTCGCACATAATGACTCAGTGTTCAGGAATAGTTCCAAGAAAGAGTCGACATTTCCCAGGTATGCATTTTTTACAAAACATCAAAAATAGATGTATACATCAAATTTTGTGTCACAATAGCTTGCTGGTTTATTTTAACTGAGAGTTGTCACTGGTTGATAAGGAGGTGACTACCTAGAAAAGCTTCAACACAGCTTCTAAGACCTCCGAGTAAGGTGTGGAAAAAAATCTTGCACAAGCAGCAAATTACCAGTCAAATGAAAATAATTTTCGCCTAATTCATTTTTGTATTTGAATAAACAAACTATTCGTATATAACGCTGAGATATTTGCAAAACTCCGGACCGCAGGTGCACGCGGTGGGGAACGAGCGCGCTATTGTCCTTACCGGGGGAGTAGCGCACTTCACCGCCACACCATCCGGATCCTTCATCTTGTCTGTCTCTCAGCTAGTTGTATCGATTCCGATCCGACCAGATCAATTTCGTTAACGGGTGATTGCTGATGGCAAAAAATCGATAGAACTAGCTGAGAGACAGCCAAAACGAAGGACCAGGATGGAGTGGTGGTGAAGTGCGCTACTCCCCGGTAAGGACAATAACGCGTTGGTTCCCCACCGCATACACCTGCAGTACGGAGTTTTGCAAATATCTCAGCATTATATACGAGTTATATTTCGCAACATACCCTGCCATTAAAAAGAAAAAGGCAGTAAATAAAAGGGTTAAAACAAGCTATTATTTTTTTAAAAACACAAAAACGGATTCTTAGAGATATTCCCTCTGTCATCTGCAATTAAAGAGACAAATTACCATTTTTAAAAGAAAGCACATAGTTTTAGTTTAATCAGAGGTTTTTTCACCTTTTTGCTTATTCTTATAGCTCGAAGAGTATCCACAAAACAGCAACATGACAATTGCTCTCACCAGGGAAACAGCTCTGTACGCCGACGACGACGGCGATACCAAGAACAAACGATGAAAACCAACTGAACATTTGAGAAGAAGAATTGCACCAACATAGACGACATCTTGGCCTTTTATAAAAATTTTGTCACCATTGTAAAATCGTAGCAAATCTCTTCATCTGCGGCCATATACGTAATAAATTACGACTGTTTGTTGTTGAATAGATCGCATTCGTCTCGATATTTACGACGTCTTTAGTTAAAGAAATGTTTCTATTTTTATACGTTTGGCGAAGATACATGATATTAACAGTCCAGCGTCTAAATTTTGATGATAAAGCCATTCTTTACATCGAAAACAATCGATATTGAAACGCAAAACAATAGAACGATATTAACAGTGTGAATAACATGTGATAACCTACCATAAATAAATAATAAGTAAATAAAAAGTTACTTACTTACTTGGTACTTGAATGGCCCGTCCTCACTGGTTGTGTCGGCCCCAGCACAATCTCCATTTCTTGGAGACTTGCTGGTTGAGCCACTGCGGCTCTTCGGAATCCCGAGGTCAACCTGGCTAAAGTCTGCCCCAGTCACCGGCAGTCGCAGCCGTTGTGGATCAGAGGGAGATTTCCCACATGCTACTTTGATCCCAGGACGGTGGTGGATCCTAGTATTGGTTTGTTCTTAGGTAGGCTTCTTGATGGAAACGCCGGACTCCTTCTCAGCTTGGGATACCCTGCAAGAGATGAATCTCCTGCTGTACATCACAGTTCGATGCCCAGGAACATCTCCCAGCCACGATGAGGCCGTAAACCGTTGACAGGATAACTTATCATACGGTAATTAATAATAAGGAAGCAAGCGAAAGACAAAATAAAGAAAGCGAATAAGCGAGAGCAAAAAGCCAAAGGGAAACAGTGATTTTAGAGGAATGTCCATTTTACCAGAGCATGTTTAGTGTAATTGTTAGAAGCGGCCTAATACATATCTGACCCTTAGTTCGATCCTGCATAGCGGATATACAGAAAAGATGAAAGTGCTGGGCTGTTACATCGATAAGCCACTGCAAGTGATATATAGCCAAAAGATGCACTAACCAGCACTACGATACCACGATTGCGATTGAAGGCATGACTTTTCTCCATGCGACTGATCAATTTTCGAGATTTTGTAGCTTTTATAGTTAAATATTTTGTTTTCACAAAAGATAGTAAGAGCCTCAAGAAGAACATTTTTCGGGTATCTTGGTAGTTGTATTAGAGTGTGCCAATATACTTATAGTTAAATTATGGATTGTTCCCGCAGAATTATCCGCAGTTAGTGAACTGCAAGCTCATGTGGCGTCTCCTTAAGATAGTGGACAAAGATAGAAGATTAAACAGCAACCAAAAGCGACCTTGTGTTTGTTGCAAAGCGCTAATTATCTAGTAGAAAGATGCTTATTTGCCTCAGCTAGAGTGACTATTTGTTTCTGCATACGATTAGGAATGATTCTTTTTTGCAGCATCCACTTTCTATTAACCTCGGGATTGGAATATGAATGCGTCGTTCTCTTGTTCAGCAATCGCGAGGTTTTTAAACAGCACACATTTACTTCCATAAAAAACACAATACAATACAACGCTAGCTGACGGATTCGGCAGTATCGCCTTCTTCAGAGCCTGGAAGGGTATACTGATATACAATCCACTAGGCTAAACGCTTCAGTAATACTTGCAAAAAGACGAAAAGCTCTATGGTAATTACATGATCAACAGCTTGTCGAAAAACTCACCGCTTTTTACGTGACTTCCAATGAGGAAGTTTAGAACAGCTGATTATAGTCGCATGTGGTTGACGACTGCACCATCCCACATCAAAAACCAATGCGAACATACGGGATCAGGTCGCGTATGACCTCCGGGCATTCGTCCCTGCTATTCATTGTAGGGTTTTTGGCATTTATCCAAAAAGCTTCAAGAAGTTTTCGCGCTGATGTTTTAGAGTTTTGTGCAAGGATATTGACTTTTACTTCAAAATCATCTCTGCTATGCTTTGGTATCCTATGTGTGCCTAGTGGGGTGCTTTGTCTTGGTTTTCGTTTGCCATCTAAGTGTTCTTTTATAAGCATACACAAAGGCCTGCCTGTTTCGCCAATATATTTATCTCCTCAATCATTACAAGCGATCAGGTATATCGTACCTGAACTCTTGCAACGTCCCGACAATGATTAGCAGGGAGGAATGCCCTGAGATAACACGTGATCTCGCTCCGTATCTCAAAACTGATTTTTGATGTGGGGTGGTGCAGTCATCAACCATATGCGACTCTAATCGGCTGTCCTTCCTTGGTGGAAGGCAGATAGAAAACATTGGGTTTTTCGAAAAGCCGGTGGTGGTGTAATTATTGCTCAGATTTCCATCTTTCTGTTTGCGGTGTTGAAGCGTTTAGCCTAGTAGATTGTATATCAGTATACCCTTCCAGGCTCTGAGGAAGGCGATACTACCGAAACGTCAGCTACTGTTCAATTGTATTGTGTTTTTCTATGGAGTAAATGTATGCTGTTTAACAACGTCGCGATTGCCAAACAAGAAAACGGTGATTTTTTTTGTTGAAGTGTGTTCATTTTTGCTTTGTCTTGTGTCTGATTGATGGTATTTTGCAACCTTCAGCTCCGCTTGGTAAAAACCCTGCAATGAATTGACTACAAGCTACATGAGAGGCGGCTTCGAACTAACCCCGGCCAATGAGTTCCATATCTTTGAAAGTTTACGTTGAACTGCTTAGTTTGAGAAAGGATGAAATACGAACTTTAAGATGGTTCTGGCATCAATGTACAGAAATTTCATGCTCCTCTACTCATATAAATCGTCAAAGAGCCGATGAAATTAGACAAAATAAAGATGACCTGGGAACACAACATATTGTAAAGTCGTGTTTCCATGCCAAACTGTAAAGTACCTGATAAAGCTAACCATACGCTTTGAGATACTATTTTTTTTACATGACCTGGCAGTATTTATTACTCGGATTACAGCAATTCTTGCCGTCGGTTTTTTCCTCTCCTCTATCATCAACAAAGGTCTCTCCGAACTTTCCCCGCGTGTAGATTGGACTCTTGCTAAAGGATTATCATCTTCTTTATGAACAGCATCGAATCCAGGTAGAACTAATTCTTTTCAGGATCCTAAGATAGTAGCACATAGGCGTTTTTAAAGGAATTTGTGAAAAGCGAGTTGAAATATAGCCACAGTGATGCTTAGATATTTGGAAAGCTCCGAACTTCAGGTGTCTGCGGCGGAAATCGAACACGCTGCAATCTTTTCCGGAGGTCTGAGGGCTAACGCGTTCACTACCACACCACGGGAGCCCTTTGTTCTGCCTTTCTTTCAACTTTGTTTTATAGGTTCTATCAGCAATCACCCGTCAACGGAACTAATCTGTGGAGCCAAATCGGAATTGCACCCAACTAAGCTGAAGCTATAGTATAAATCACAACGTATAAATCACTTTTTCTTTATGACCCATTCCTTTTTCGTGGCAGAGTATGCTGTGAAATATAACCAAAATGATGCTAAGATATTTGCTAAACTCCGGACCGCAGTTGTCTGGGGATCGAACACGCTATTATCCTTACCAGGGACTAAGGTTTCACCACACCATGCGAGTATTTCATTTCACTTTCCTCTTAGCTATGTTTTATAGGTGCTATCAACAGTCACCCATCACCTATAAAACGGTTGAGAGAAAGGCGAAGCGAAGGACTCGCATTGTGCGGTGGTGTACTCGTTAGCGCCCGGAAAGCGTCATAGCATGTTTGATTTACACCGCAAACACCTGGGCTTCGGAGTTTTGCAAATATTTCAGCATCATGGTGGTCATACTTTTCATCATACCCTACCGTAAAAGAAGAATAAGCAGCAAATAAAAAGTGAATTGAAAATGAGTTGAGTTGTAAAGTATTGCTACGTTTTCTGTTAGCTGTTCTAATACTGCCTACAGTAGGATGGGTTGTGAACATAAAAAAGTCATTATCAGTTGAGAACCAGTCAGCAATCGTTCTGTGTAAAAGAGCACTGCCTTGTGAGATTGCCACATTCGAACGGTGCTCCATTGAAGTAGGTCGCACTTGATACGGCGACCAAAACAACATCGTGACGACGAACAACTGTGGACCATTGACTCGGATCATCGGCTTTAGGGAAGGCGACAACGTCGGAACGTTAACTAAATAAAAGTTGTGTAACAACCTCGTGTACGCTGAGCAATCCAAAGAAATCAAGTTGGTTTTATACAAGCTTTGCACCAATTTTCCGATCACGGAGAGATTACAAACTTAGACTTGGTGCGGATTTGAACCGGCACCATGCTCGTTATAAACACCATTGCTACCACTGGGCATATGGCCCTAAAGGCAATAAAGTTCAAATGATTCTAAATAGGTGCGGCTTTGCAAAAAGAAAGATTCAGAGCCAATAAAACCTATTTCAGAATCACATTATATATTTTCGAACATGGTAAAAACAAAAAGTTAATTTCTTCGATGTGGCAGTTTGCGCAGTGCAGTGGTTACAAGCACTCTGAAATAAACAGACTCTTGCTGGTTGAATGCTACACTCTAAGCAGAGCATGTCGTCTATGCATAGAGAAGACATTCTAATATCATACGTGACTGTGACGAAAAAAATTACTTGCTTAATACTCTAGTAGGCCGTCGTAAGTCGCAAAGGTCAACTATAGACTCAATCTCCTCTAGGACTTTAAGAATGGGATGGATTTCATGACGGCTTTCTATCCGACTGGCCAACACTGAACAGTTTTTTGTCTATTATTTAACTTTCATTTGCTGCCTGCTGTTTTATTCGTGGTAAGGTGTTATGTAGAAAGGTGGAAAATCAGAATACCACGGTGGTGTAGTGAACAACTCGTGAACCTCGGAAAGGATGATTGCAGGATCGAAGCTCACCTACGATTCCGAGTGTTGATCATGTCTCATCAGCTGTAGTTTTCTTCTTTGCTGATTCAAAGTGCGATAGCTTGATTGGTGAACATGATTATTAACTTTGTAAGCGCAGCAACCACCATTCATCTATACCAAGTTGCA